TCCATTGCGATCTCATTGTCGAAGTGTCCAATGTTGCACACAATGGCGTTGTTCTTCATCTTCTTCATGTGATCCAAGGTGATGATCTTGAAGTTGCCAGTCGCAGAGGTGAAAATGTCAACCTCACCCACGACCTCTTCAATCGTCACCACCTGGAAGCCTTCCATGCAGGCCTCTCGGCAGAAAGACACCACCACAAAAATATAAGGATCACTGGGGCCCACTTCGTGTTTTATACTTGATCAAATCAGCTTCAACAAAAAAGGGCTGCAGCCGTTGAAACAACCGACCACTCCACAGGACACAACAAGTAATCAAGCAGCCATGCGAGATCATGCCAGGGGGCCAATGCCTGCTAAAATCTGCTAAAACCTTGACACTGAATGGACGTTCATTCCAGAAACGCTATCACACTATCGGCGATCAATTAATCTGAATATGCAAATGTCGCAGTGTGCCTGGAGAGCGCAAATGGGGTCGATCTCGGTGATCAACACACGGGCACCAGCACCCCTCATGGCGAAGGCGCATCCCTTTCCGACATCTCCGTAGCCTGCCACGAGGGCGCGCTTTCCACCAATCATCACATCAGTGGCGCGCATGATACTGTCAGGCAGAGAGTGGCGGCAGCCATACACGTTGTCGAACTTGGACTTGGTCACGCAGTCATTGACGTTGATGGCAGGGAAAAGCAGCTCACCCTTGGCTGCCATCTCGCGAAGGCGATGCACACCTGTGGTGGTCTCCTCGCTGACACCCTTGCACTTGGCAGCCATGCGGGTGTACTTGGTCTTGTCGGCTTGGATGGAGTCCCTCAGCACCTGCAAGACACACTTGAACTCGGCGTTGGTGGTGCTTGCAGGATCAGGGAGGCTGCCATCCTTGGCAAACTTCGCCTCCAACTCCTTGCCCTTGTGGACCAGCAAAGTAGCATCACCTCCATCATCCACGAGCTGGTCGCAACCATCAGCACCTGGCACCGTCATCATCTGCTCAGTGCACCACCAGTACTCTGGCAGGGTCTCTCCCTTCCATGCGAAGACTGTCGCAGTGCCAGCCTTGGCAATGCCTGCAGCTGCATGGTCCTGGGTGCTGAAAATGTTGCAAGAGCACCAGCGCACTTTGGCGCCCAAAGCATGAAGGGTCTCAATGAGGACACCTGTCTGGATGGTCATGTGGAGGGAGCCGTTGATGTTCAAACCCTTGAAAGGCTGTGCTGGTCCAAACTCCTTCCTTGCTGCCATCAGACCTGGCATCTCATGTTCCGCCAAAGTCAACTCCTTGCGACCGAACTCGGCAAGGCCCATGTCCTTCACCTTGGAGTCTGCCATAATGCTAGGGAGTCTATCTACGAGCGGAGATCTAACCAGTCAATCTGCACTTGCTGAGCCAAGCAAGAATCACCTCGTGCAACTTCTCACTAGATTTCAACGTCCAGCTGAACAAACAGTTGTGCCCTCATGTACCCTCACTTGATCATATGGAATGCGAATAGTCAATCATGCTGTCAAACTTTGATTTGCACAAACACTAATTTCAAAGAACACAAATGTCTTTTAGGATATCTGCTGCCCAACAATAACATCCCTGAGTCCTCCCTGACCCATGTCTCCAAGCCTTCTTGAACGCACAGACACTGGTGGCCTGACTGTGTTGTTGACCCAACAATGCTCCAGAAAACACATACAAAACAGAGATCATCCGCTGCAGAACCTCATGAAGTAGTGCTGGAGCCTCTCTCTATCTCACTCTCTGAACTCATTCTTTTCCGCTGGTCGCCAACCCTCGGGATCCATGCATCAGACACGTCGCCAAGGTGGACACGCAAAACGGATCGAGAAAGGCAAATGTTGGCCATGGACGGCCGGCAAGCACACCTCGCTGGTTTAGTAACGGTAATGGTCCATCTTGAAAGGACCTGCAACAGGGTTCTTTGGTTATATAGTTGCTTAAACCATCTTGATTTGTTTAATCTTAAACCATGTTCAACACTCGATTCAGATCGTCGCTAAAGGATCTAGCGAGCTTAGCGTATAGGCAGCGGTCATTTGAATCAAAAAGTGTGACAAGTCAAAAAAGAATCGAAGAGTTAAAAAGTTGATGTCGTCGCTTCTCGGGTGCGCTCGAAAAGTCTAAGAATGCAAAAAAAAAAAACAAGTCATAAAGTGGGTTGGCCTCCACTTCCAGACTGGACAAATTGAAAAAACAAAACAAAAACCTGAAAAGCGCAAAAAGTTAAAAAGTTGAAAATTCCAAAAAGTCAAGAAACACAAAAACATACTAAAAAGTCAAAAGTTGAAGAAAAAACGAAACGCCGAAAACTGTTTGAGTTTTTGGATGTTTTTGGATTGTTTTTCGTAAATGTATGTAAATGTTCGTTTCGGTTGCGAGGATAGCAGTTTACTAGCTTAGCACTCTGACGCTTTACCTGCAATCTTCTGAAGGTTCCGTCATCGGGCCTTCGGGCTTCACGCCGATGTACTCGGCTTGCTCCTTGGAGAGCTTCGTCAGGCTGGCACCCAGGGCTGGCAGGTGGAGGGCCGCCACCTTCTCATCAAGCTTCCTAAGTCTCAGCTAGAGAATGATAGAAAAGTGGTTCCCAGAGTAGTTCCTGGGCTAGTCCTATACCTTCTTTGCTTCAACTGCTCAGAAGCAACCACACAGTAGAACCCAGTTTAATGCACAGCGGAATCTTATGCAAGTCCCTTGCCAGGTGTCTTTGGCAGCAGGTAGACGTCGTTCTTGTAGTTCTTTGCCTTCAGGAAATTCGTGATATGTTTCATTGGACATAAAGGACAAAGTGAAGCACATCAGCTGCAATCAGAAAAAGCCGGCCTTGGTGCAATTCTCCAAAATATCGAGCTGGGCCAAGACCTGTGGCACTTCAGCAAAGCACAAAACAGTTCAGCAGCAAAGCTGCAAAACACTGTCTGCAGTGAAAGAAAGGCATGGCCTACAAGCACATTCAAGTCCAGTGCCTGGTTGGTGAAGGAGCATGACATCACGAAGGATGGATGGCCAGTGGCGCAGCCCAGGTTCACCAGTCGGCCAGATGCCAACACAATGACACCATGGCCGTCAGGGAAAACAAAGCGATCCACCTGTGGCTTGATGTTCTCGACCTTGATGCCAGGGAAGTTCTCCAAGTCTTCCATTGCGATCTCATTGTCGAAGTGTCCAATGTTGCACACAATGGCGTTGTTCTTCATCTTCTTCATGTGATCCAAGGTGATGATCTTGAAGTTGCCAGTCGCAGAGGTGAAAATGTCAACCTCACCCACGACCTCTTCAATCGTCACCACCTGGAAGCCTTCCATGCAGGCCTCTCGGCAGAAAGACACCACCACAAAAATATAAGGATCACTGGGGCCCACTTCGTGTTTTATACTTGATCAAATCAGCTTCAACAAAAAAGGGCTGCAGCCGTTGAAACAACCGACCACTCCACAGGACACAACAAGTAATCAAGCAGCCATGCGAGATCATGCCAGGGGGCCAATGCCTGCTAAAATCTGCTAAAACCTTGACACTGAATGGACGTTCATTCCAGAAACGCTATCACACTATCGGCGATCAATTAATCTGAATATGCAAATGTCGCAGTGTGCCTGGAGAGCGCAAATGGGGTCGATCTCGGTGATCAACACACGGGCACCAGCACCCCTCATGGCGAAGGCGCATCCCTTTCCGACATCTCCGTAGCC